AACTCGTCGAGAACTATAAGAAACGCTATTCAGAACTACTCGGTACTCTCAAAAAATTTTCCGGCGTGGGACCTAGAAAAAAATTTGAAGTCAAAATTTTTTGGGAGTACCGAGTAGTTCTGATCGGAGTTCTGGACAGTTCTCGGCGAGTTCTGTCGAAAAGTATCAGGGCTCAAAGCGATTGGATCAACGGTTTCCAAGATATACTCTAAAAATTGTTGATTTTTTGACAAATGTCGCTGTATCTTGCAAACCGTTGGTCCAATCGCTTTTTCACCTTACAGTTTTCGATAGAACTCGTCGAGAACTATAAGAAACGCTACTCAGAACTACTCGGTACTCCGAAAAAATTTTCCGACGTGAGACTTGAAAAAAAATTTTTGATAAAAAATTTTTTGGGAGTACCGAGTAGTTCTGATCGGAGTTATGGACAGTACTCGGCGAGTTCTGTCGAAAAGTATTAGGGCTCAAAGCGATTGGACCAACGGTTTCCGAGATATACTCACTTTAAAAATTGTTGATCTGACAAATGTCGCTGTATCTTGCAAACCGTTGGTCTAATCGCTTTTTCACCTTACAGTTTTCGATAGAACTCGTCGAGAACTATAAGAAACGCTACTCAGAACTACTCGGTACTCTCAAAAAAATTTTCAAATATTTCCACTATTTTTTTAAACTTTATTATTCTTCAAAAATGTTTTTTATGTATCAAGAACTCTAGGTATTCACAAAATACTTCTGTTAAGCTGATCAGAACTATGCAACTATGCTTGAATTTCGTTAAAAAGTTAGCACCCCATTTTAAAAAAATTATTAAAAATTGATTATTAAGCGCATATGTCATTAAAAATTATAGAGAACTCTTCGTATCGTAAAAAAGAAGCAGAAATTATTATCAGAACTATTGTATCTAAAAATTAATTTTTCAAAAATTTTTAATTTTTTTGTAATATTCGATAATTTTTTTTACATATCAGGAACTCTAGGCAATCGCAAATTGAAGTTATTAAGCCGCTCAGAACTATTCCACCTCGAAATTCGATAAAAAGTTAGCACCCCATTTTTAAAAAATGTAAAAGAAATGTTTATTGAGCGGAACTCTTGTTATTAACTATAGGGAATTCTTCATCTCGTCAAAAGGAAGTGGGAACTCTAATCAGAACTCCTGAGTACTATAGTTAGGGTGCTGACTTAACATACCCCATAAATTCAAACTTTCTATCAATGCTGCATCTTCTTTAGACAAAGATTGTTCTCAGATTTCAGAATTTTATAAAATAAAAGTAATTATAAGGCTCAATATGTATAAAACAATATAAATATAAAGAAGGCAATGAGCCAAGTAAATTAACGAACAATTTAATTTAAACAATCATATAAAAATATATCTAAAAGAAACGTTTCGACTCCGATCGGATCATTTTCAATATTACATAAAATATATGAAGTATTATAAGTTCAAATTTAACTTAATCAAGAATGTATACAATATAATTTAACTATTTAACTTATAATACTTCAGAATTTTAATTATCACGTTTATTTTAAAATTATTTTGTATCTATTTATTTGCTCATATTTGATAAAGATGTTGTTTATGTAAGCCTTTAATTTATAAACATTGAAAATGATCTGATGTGAGTTGAAATATATGTTAATGTATTAATAAACTTACTTTATTGTTTAATTTCTTTGTATTAAGATCTTGCTCGGCTTATAGCCCTATTCTATTATTAATAATAATTCTATCTCTTTTTAAGAGGTCTAATCATCCTGAAATTTTGAAAAATTAAAAAACCTTTTTCTAAAAGTTTGAAACTTTAAGAACATTTTAAGCCAAGGTCAAGATTTTTAGAAGACAAGTTTCTAAAAGCTGAAGGCGAGGAGTATGATGTTAAAATGCAGATTAGAAGTAAGATCATTTTATTATATAAGAAAATTATTTCAAATCTTTTTTTATGTTTTTCTCGAAACTATACTTTTCAAGACAGGTATAAACTTTTCTCCGAAACTAATACTACAATTTGGAAATTTTTTCCAAATCGAAATACTTTCCACATTTCTCAACAAAAATAAAAAAAAACTCTATGCTACAATCGTATATCAAGCTATCGAGCTTACATCCATTTACAAAAAAATATTTTGCTTTTTGATTTCAAATCACTCTCGCCTCTGAAAATATTACACTCGATCCTGCCGCGACAAAGGAGCATGGCAGAAATTGTTTTATAGCTTAAACTTTTTAGTCGATCTGTTTAAAAATCTACAAATTTGCAGTTTAAATATTGTATATTACAAATATAAAATATAAATTAATTCTGCACAGTTAATTAAAAAAATCTTAAATTTGTACTTATTTTAGACCCTGTCAGGATGACTTGACCTCTTAATTCGTATTAAAAATGGATGTGACGATCCTATCGAAAAGTTCAGCCTTTACACTTACTTCCGTCAATATTTTATGCGCTTGTGGTATATCAGTGTAAACCAACTTTCTGAAACCTGATACTTTTGTGTTCTCTGGCAGTTTATATAGCTTTAAAGTCCTCTGCATCGTCATGTTGCGAGTAAGATGAGAAAACTTGATGTCGATTAATTTCTTTGGATTTAACGATCGATGCCAGTACCTAAATACATACATGTTAATTAAGCAATTGGTCAAGCAAAGTTCTCATATACGTCTCTATACTGACCTGCATGTAGCGATAGGTTTTGGTAAAACAACTCCGGCAGTGTACACAGCCTGAAAGATGTTCTTCAGATTTACTCTCCTCGTAATTTCACGTATCAATACAGGTGCTACTCTCTTAGATCTTAACTTCTTATGCACACATAGAAAATTGATTTCCACCATTTTTTGAGTACTGAAAACATTTTTAAAGCATTACGTTGCAAAGTCGAGAAATTACACAAGCGTATTATACCTACTGATTATAGACGCGTAAAGTGGCTGGGATAGCGGAAATAAAACCGACTAGACGTCCGCTCTTGCTCACTCGCACACCACAATGCCATTCTTTGCACCAACCAGGAGGCTGCAGCGCCCATTTCAAAAAGTTGGGAGGATAATCAAATCTAAACATAGCGTCGTCGTCTTCGACATAATTTTCTGAAAGTAACGTATACAGTTCTGATAATACCAGAGGATCATCTAAATTCAAAGTATCCCATTGAAAATCAGCAGGTAGCGAATATGGCTCTGCTCTAATAGATGTCTTATCAGGCTCAATTGGCTCGTTGCGCACAATTTTTTCATCTGGAACCAGTAGTATAAATTAAAAAAAAATATATATATATAAACTTTTCTTATAATTTGACAGCTCACCCATTTTTGGTACAGGCTGTGTACTCCAAAATTGATAAGACTTCTGCATCGCTTCCTCCTGAGTTTTGGCAGGTTTTTGTTGTAAATTGAATACTTCCATTGCCATCTGGATGTCCTTTATAGAGATATTGCACGCACTAGGCATTTCTTTCTCCTCCTTATTATTGTTATGGTTTTCACTAGCTGCATGCGCCGTCTCTTTCTTTTTTTTCCGAGCTTCTCTCTTCTTCGAGCTATGGCAAAATAGCAAGTTTATTAATGCAATGCGATAACTTGTCATAAACAAATAAATGATATATTTAGGCTGTGTTCTACATAACGCTCACTTGCACATTGCAATGCCATTCTTTGCACCAACCAGGAGGCTATAGCGCTCATTTCAAAAAGTTAAGAGAATAATCAAATCTAAACACAGTGATATCATTTTTGACATAATTCTCTAAAAGTAATGTATACAGTTCCGATAAGATCAGAGGATCATCTAAGTCCAGAGTATCCCACTTACGAGTATTGTGAGCATTAACTGGAACGCAGCTTTAATAACTTTAGATATTTAAGACTCAATTATGAGAGATATTGTGTATATAACAGAAATTAAAAAATGTACATTCATAATAAATCACAAAAGAAAATAAAAACAAAATAAAAAAATACATATCTTATATAACAAATAAACCAAATTAAATTTTATATCTGTACTCACTTTTATAGATAAATGCGCACATTTATTTCGGAAATTCTATAGGATATGCAACACAAACTGTATGCTAAATGCGCACATTTATCGATAAAAGTGAGGTATAAATATCGACCATAAATTTCAATCTCGTTTATTTGAACGCGTACATAAAAGTAATGATAATTAAAAAAGCTTAGCACCGCAACTGCTTGGTGTATTGATTAGATATGCATCGATGAAACAAATTAAACGCAATGACACAATTACTACAAGCCACTGACAAGAGAAAGTGATGCAGGCCGAATGGATTGCTCCGAAAAATATCCAAATCATAATCGACTCGAGAAGGCCCCGCATTTCACGCCGAATCGCGATTGGAAAAACTGTCTTTGAAAAAACTGAGGATTACGCAGCACGAATTATCCACCGGGTATTCGTCAAAGGAATATAGGTTAAGGCCGGGGCGGCAAAGTGCGGAGCAAGCCTCGTATAATTGTGCCGCGAACGAATTCGCCATCCCTCGATGGATGATGACGTTCGTTCGCGGCTGTACCTCTTATTTCGCGCGTCTTTTTCGTGGGCTTCATCCTTCTTGGTTTCTCGCTCCGCAGCCTGGGCACTCTTCTCCTCCATTTTAATATAGATTTTTGTCGCGCGTACAGTGACGCTGCTGGAAAATGTATCCAGATGGAGCCGACGGAGGAACCAATTTCACGCACGCGCAATGACGGCATGCCTTAGCACTCAAGCAGACACATCGTGTCTTATTATTTCAGATGTCATCGCTGCGTTTCTTCCTTATTGTTCCTTATGTCATTATACTTATTTTACCGATGAGATACTATTTATTATTACGACACTCGGCTCTCATGGAAATCGCGTGCCCTTAAAATTTAAGTGATTAAGAATAATAAATTGACAATACGGGGGGTAATAATTTACATGATGTAAGACACATCATAAAGACGTCCTGAATTCACATTTTTTTAGAATATCAGAATAACTTGAAAGATTTTTTGGAAAAGTTTTCAAGACGTCTCTTTCAAGCCTTTTGGATGTCTTTCGGCATGCATGTTCTCTGAGGTAATTTTTCGGCAATATATATAAAATATGATAGTATTAAAGGTACGCGTACTTATTTATACAGCATTTGTATATAATAAAAAAAATCACGATTTAAATAATGTATCCAAAAAAAACATGCATGTCTGAAAGACCTCAAGAGTCTTGAAAGAGACATCTCTCTCTCTCTCTCTCTCTCTCTTAAAGACTTACAAAATAAAATCTTTTGCAGATAGTCCGAAAGACATCCTTAAGGATAATGTTTTTATAGGACGCACAAAACTTTTTTGAGATGTCATATTTGATATTCCAAAAAATGTCTCATGAATTTTAGAACGTCTTTATTTATAATAATGTCTTACAAGACGCCTCAAATGTTCTCTGGGTTTTACAGTTTGTGCTGGTAATGCCAGTGTCCGCTATATCATAGGTCGGTTACAATGGTTACAAATACATACTCCGTTTATCACATATAAATAGTATAAATTACTGCAATTTCCGTTTCGGATTTACATTACAATTTATCTTACTGTAATTCCGATATCCTCGCCGTAAATGTGACATATTACCGAGCGTATTCGTTAATTACTGTCGCCATTAAATTATATGTAAACCTATACATAAACTTAAATTCCAAGTGTATTCAAATATCGCGCCGAGCGAAACTAATGCGATGTCGCAAGTAGCGAACGACTTGCATCATACTTCACGCGTGACGCGGCGACGCGGCTTCGCGCCATTCGCGCTGGAAAGTGGAAATGGTCAAAGCAGAGAGACAAAGGAAAATCGTATCGCGCTATTATGCGCGGTTTTTACCCCACGAAAACGTTTTGCGTACAAAATTCGACATCGAGACTAGGATATCGCCATCGGACATTGTCGTGATGTGTTCAGGTGAGAGATAACCACATTTCCGATCGCAAATCCATTGTTCGCTCGCAATTTCGACAATCGCGATTCTCGGTAACCGCGTCATATTGTGATCCTTTTCTATCACGACGATTGAACCGAGATCGATCCCGCGAATCATGGCAATGATCCAAAAAAAGAAAGAAAAAACAGTCGAATACAGTAATTAAATTACACAATTAATTGCCGCGGCGATTTTATTAAAATAAAGCTTCGGGCCAATTTCACCAACGTCGGTTAGACTAACCAACGGTTAATTCAAATGGAATTATCCAATCGCGTTTGTCTTCGACCAGAATGAACAAATCACGGTTGACATTTTTTTAACTGTCGGTTAGCTTAACCGACGTTGGTGAAATTGACCTTAGTGGCAGAAATCTCTCAATATCTCCCTACATTGAAAACAGAATTATTAATTTAATAAATATATATATTTTTTTAGGTAGTTCTCTAGCAGAATATATTTAACTTACGGTAAATAAATAAAAAGAGCCATTACTGCGTAATACCAGCAATGGCCCTTGCGCCCTTATTTATATCTATATTGTTTTATTCAAATAAATATTTATTAAAATTTAATATTTTATGTTGTACGATACCGAGATTTTACATCCGTATTTATTCTCTCATGGCAAAAGAAGTCACATTCATATCGCCGTAGTCACGATTAAATTCTGATCAATATATGAGGTGATCAGAAAGATCACCGTGACGTCATACTATAATATTATTTTAATTTGTGTATGTCATAGCAGTACTGAGAGGTGCAGTTTTTATTACAATTTCATAATGGTATATCAAAGTAGACATGTTTGCATGTTGTCATAATTTTGTTGCGATATTACTTTGCTGTGACTTTTTCTGCTATAGGGATTTTATTTAATTGAAAAGCATTAATATTAAAAATGTTATTGCAACGATTGGAAATAAACTTGTTACTTGCGTCCTTTCCAGATAATAAGTACAGAGAGTTTAAAAAGAATTTAATCGTCATTAATTCTGAATTTAATTTCAGATGCAAAAGAATTTTTTTTAATGTTTTGGAAAGAAGATATTTTTACTTCAGAAAATAACTCGGAATCGATGACACATGATGAAACTCTTCTTGAATTTTTTGTGTTATCTGGGTTACTAAATATTACAGTTACATTTGGAAATGGATTGATAACGACATTACCTTTTTTTGGTGACAGTAATGAATTTTTCCGTTACTTTATCGTTACATTATATATTTTAAATATATTTATGACACAACACTTTTTTATATATTCAAATTTAATTTTTGGTCAATACTATAAAAATATTTGAGGAAATCTTTTAAAATGCGTTTTCGTCCAAAATTTTATTTTTTTTAATTAGAGACGATGTAATATTCAATGTTGAAAGATTCATATTATAAATTATTTTGAAATTTTTAAAAAGCACTTTCATCGTTAATTTATGTGCTAAAAAAGCATAGATATTTCGAAATGCATTACGTTTTTCAAATACAGATAAACATAATGCATTTGTTTAACATTTTTAGTAATTGTTTCACAATTTTGTTTAATACTTCACATTCTACTGTTATGTTATTTTCTATAAAGTGCGTTGTTCTCTTGTACGTAGTTTCTTTCTGTCTCGTTTTCTGAAAATTACAAATTTTAAACAAAACGAATTTTAAAAGTATTTGCTCTTTATTTATAATTTGTCCTCACTTCAAAATCGTTTTAAGAAACATCTTAACATGTTAATATAACGTCTGATTGGTTCATAACATACAATATTTAAGACTGTACTTAAGACAATCTTAAATATAAGAATCGAACAAATATTAGTTATAGTATCTTATATTACGCATAAATATAATATCAGCCTTAATATTAATTATTACAAGTAACTTTCGTTCGATAGTATCAGACAAATTGTATACATAAATACAGTACATTGCGTCGGTAATGTAACAGTTTCGTTAAGTAATTTCCGTGCAATCGTAGTATCACTCGTTGAATATTCCTACACCCGGAAAAACTTTTTTAATAAATAAGTACTTTAATTGAAAGTAAACTTATATATAATTTTTAGCAATATACTCTAGTTTACTACGATCATTGTTTAAATGTTTTAATTAAAAACACCAAGTAGCTATATTTAATATCATTACTTTTATAAGATTACATGCATCTCAATTGAAACATGTGCTAATTTGTTTGGTAATTAATAACTTGTTGATATGAAGATTTAATACACAATATGTGCATGTAGTTAAAAGTTGTAATTAAAATACAATCATTACAATTATTAAAAAAAAAAGAATTATGTGTAATTAAAGTGCAACCATTACAATTATTAAAAAAATTATATGTGCTTGAATTAATCGAGACACGTGCTAGTAATTAGCAGTGATTTTGTTCAATCATGTTCTATAAGTTAAAAGTTTTAAATAGCTATAATTGACGTTGTGGCTATGTTTAGAAAATTATAAGTGCATGAATTAATCGAGATATGCATTAGTAATTGGCAACGATTTTGCTGTGTTCCATCTTGACTGCGATGGTTGCTCAATTGTTCTGCAAATTAAAAGTACGAAATAGCTATTATTATTGGTACTGTGCTTATTATGTTTACAAGTGCATGCATGAATTAATCGAAATACGAAATGGTAATTAACAGTGATTGTGATTCTATGCTCGCTTGTGATTATTATTTTGTAAATTAGACTACGAAATAGCCATGTGTAGTTGACTTTATGGTCGTTACGTTTGTAAAATTATATATGTGCATGAGTTAAATAGAAGTACACAGTAAAATGATATTACCGTGATTATAATATTTTGTATTAACCGCGATTATTGATTTCTTTGTACACTAAAGTGATGAAATAGTATACCATAGCTAGTCGTTTCGTTTAAAGAACAATACATGCATAAGAATTAAAGTAAGCAATAGTAATTAAAAGTAATTGCGATATTATGTGTTGGTTGCGATCTGAATATATGTATCTCTTCTTTGTAAATTTAAAGTGCAAAATCATTAACATTATATTTGTTATTTCTGTAATATTACATGCCTTACCTCATAAAGATAATTAATTAGTAATTTTAATATTGTGTAGTACCAATACACATATATGTTATGTACGCAGTCATGTAATCAATATTGCAGTTATTTTCCTAATGTTACATGCATGAATTAATTGATAGATGCAGTAGTAATTGGTATCCTTAATGCATACATGTTGTATTATATGTATAGTCAATAGCTCATGCTGCAGTTAACCCCGAATTAATCAAAATATGCAATAATAATTGGTCTCGATATGATGATTCTGTGTGTATAGTTACGTTTAGTAGCTTTACTATTTAATTGTAGATGAGAAATACGAATAGAGAAATAAGAAATAGAGTTGTAATAGTACAATAATTATAATAAAAATTGTAATTGTGGAGTTGTCATATTTATAAATGTATACATTAATTGATTGATATATTTGAAATAATTACTAGTAGTGTAAAAATACTACGATTGCAACGGTTATCATTTATAATTAAATTGTTTTAAAATTAATTAGAATAAAAATACATATAATCGTAAATGGAAACGATTTTGCTGCGAAGACAGAAATCTGAAAATAATTTTGTTGGATCATCAAATAATTATGTAGGAAACTCAAGTATGATGAGTAATGTTGCAAAAAGTTTTGACACTCTGGCACCAGCTTAAGCGTCCTATATATCATAATTATTTTGATAGTCGAACAAAATTGTTTTCAGATTTGTATCTAGCTTTTTTAGATACTTCAAGCAAAACCGTTCTTTCCGTATATAATATCAACATGTACATATATGTACATAGATGGCCAATGAAAAATTCGCTACTGAGCTAAATAATATTTAAATAAGATTCAAATTGACGCGTTTATGACTTTTGTCGTTTCGAGGTCTTCTGAGTATACCATAAACTACAAGTAATCCGTATATGGGGTATTCCGCGTGAAGCGGATCGATTATCTCTCAGAAATTCTTTAAATTTTGCACATAGTGCTCTTGGAGAGAGAATTTTGTGCTTAAAAATTAAACTATTTTATTTTCTGCAAAGATTCATATCTCTGTTACTAATAATGCTAGCTAACTTCGTTTTTGTTACAGAACACGTTGTTCAACTTTTTTTTCTAAGATGTAGAAAAACTGAAAGTATTTAAATAAAAAGTATTTTTCCAGATTTTTTTCGATTCTGTTCTCGATTGTTAAAAAATTTGTTGAAAAGTTTGAAGTGAAATAAACAATGGAAAACGAAATCTTTTCGGAATATTTATTTTTTTCCTGTAAACTAGAACATTTTTAGCGTGAATTAAAAAAAACGAAGTCAGTTAGCATTATTAGTAACAGAGATATGAATCTTTGCAGAATAAAGTAGTTTAATTTTTAATTGTTTACATCAATTTTGCAATAAAAAAATCCTTTGGCACAAAATTCTATCTCTCAGAACACTATGTGTAACATTTTTTTAATTTCTGAGAGATGATTGATCCGCTTCACGCGGAATAGCCCACATGTATATTGTATTTCGTATAATTTCTTGCATCGGAAATTGGTCGCTACAAAATTTTTTCGCGTTGTTCGAGTTTACTACGTGTACTTTGCAAATTAATATTTTGGAAATAACATACGTATTGTTGATTATATAGTGCGCAAGATCGCGATTTGTTGTATTCCCGCACAATTTACACCTGCAAGGCATGTCAAACAATTGTGAGTACATAAATGACTGAACTGCGGTATTGTAGCGAATTAATTAAAGTAGACAACACTAATAAGTGTGGTATTCAAGCAAATTTGTGAAGTAGAACCATATCCATTCAAAGTCAAACCATTCTGCATTATTAGTCGAAAATGAGCAATGGTTTAATAAAGGGTGATCGTTATGGTGTATTAATTAAAATGGCATGCGCATAATTAACCGCATTTTCTCGACTGCATAATGGTAGTATAGTTCAATTCCCATTCGTGTCGAAGTCGGCTATGTCAATGAGAATAATGTTTACATAATGCCTGCCGTATTGATTACGCAAGCTCCTATTTTTTATTAATAATACATGTATAGTAATTTATATGTAATATAGTTTATGAATAATTTATCACAAGTATAAAACAATATTAAAATATTATTATGTGTTCTATGAAAAATAATGTATATATAATGAAAACTAAATAATTTTGTTTATTCTTAAAGAGATACTATATAATCTTTGAATAATTATTGATACGCAGGATGTTATTATAGTCCATCAACCTCGAACGCATCGAAGATGATACGCCATGCACGAAAGGGTTCATCAGTGTGCACAATTGCAATTAAATGCGGTTTCCACTCGCATATACGTGACTTGATGGACCTGAGGCTAAAGCGTTTCAAGCAGAAATTAACACCGATGGAACAGCTGATGGTAGGAGTTGTTGCGGTGGCGCTACGTTTTCGGTGAGTACATTTATTCAATTTATTCTATTATTTGTGGGAAGTCAGTATTGTTCGACGAAATTGCAATATTTCACAATTCAAAACTTAATCCGCTTTACAAAGCCGCAAAGCCTGTAAATCAAAATTAGTGGAATGAATAAAATAAAAGCCTTCGCATTTATTTGAATTTATACGAATAAATAAAGTGGATGCAAAAGAGCGGGGAGTAATTTAGACTTTAACGGGCAATGACGTGACAAGTATAATTTTCTTTATTTCATTACCAACAGTGTTCTTACATGCCGAAACAATGTATAGTATCTATATATATATATATATATATATATATATATATATATATATATCATAATATAGTATTTATGTATCGTTATATATTGTAATTATAATAGCATTAAAGAGTCTGTATTAGGCGAGTTTTTTAGATGTATGTGAATATAATTTTTGCTCGATAATTCGAATTCGCTTCTGGTGCATCACTTTTATAAATTGCGGTGCTATACGCTTATCATAGCATTAGTAAATTTATACCGAAAGTTTCGATGAAACAAATTTTAATATTTGCTTTGACGCAAGTATATCTTCAATTATACAATAAATAATCCATGTTGGAACGTGTATTAACAGTCACACGTAATATAAAATAATTTTATCCGTTTGATTTTCCATTGAATTAAATGAAACGTTCAAATATTTTGATATCAAGAGATTCGAGAATTTAATTTCATTAAATGCGTCAAATTATTTTTACATATTTATATACTGAATACTTTCATCATCATGTTAGCATCGTCACTTTCTAAATTAATTATCTCTAATACTAGCTCTCATACGTTTAATTTCTGATTTCGCGAAAAAAACATCAAATAAGCAGGATATAAATAAGCGTCGTGATATACTACATATTCGTGTGATTAGCGATCGACTGTGTTACGTAATGTCTAGATTGTCGTCTCGCCGGAAACGAATTCGGATCTATCGATTTTCTTCAAGGAGTCTCCTTCGACCGCGTACTCTTTGTGTGTCTCGAGTTCCTCCTATTTCGGGGCATAGCGACTATCGATACTACGACAAGAAAACAATTCCTTTTGCCATCACGGGGGACCCGATTAGTTCGGAGAGTCCCCGATTAATAACGTTTCGGACAGCGCGAAACGGCGCCAAGTTTTTCGACCGTTCTTTCTACGGATCTCATTCCTCTGAACCTCTTCTGGAACTACTCCCAAACAATTCCTTATGGACGCTTTACCCTCGAACATCTCGTTTCTCTGGCGTGCTCGTTCGGCACAATCAACGTATACAACATATATGTATTATAGGTCAACATTCATGATATTTATTAGAGTTAATGGCGACGAACATGTCAAACGAGAGTATGAAAAATAGAGGGACAGCGTTTTCTTCCCAAATAATTGGACGCTAAATCGCCGGCGAGAATCAGTCTCGGCGAGCGTGAAAGATTGAACACGGAATAGGTTTCTTATACGATTCCGCGAAAGAGTTTGGTCGGAATTAGACGGCGGCGTCGGTTATTTAGGCGAGCGTGACACTACGGAAGAAATCACAGGAAAGAACGTTCGATCGAGAGAGATCGGTGGAGCCACGCCGTTTAACGCGACGACGACGGTACCGTCGCTGCGAGCGATCCACGCACGATTTCCGCGCTGTCCGCCGCATGGTTAGTAGTGCTACTACTTCCTCAGCAATGATATGCATAGAAGAGCGAGGCGGGGAGCCAGAGCAAGCTGGATCCAAAGAATCGCGTCGCCGTATCGACCCCGTTACTACCGAGCCGTTTGTGCTTCGATTTCGACTTGGCGCGTCGTTGACGGGAATAGATCGCGTTGGTCATGTTGGTGGGCGACTCGATATTGCAGTAGCTCAGGTCGCAGCAACTTATGCAAATCTGAAACGAAATAACTGAATTTATTTCACCCGGTTCTGTCGGTATTTCTCTTTGGTGTTTCGATATTGTTTCCTCTTTTTTTTTGCGTTTTCGTTTCTCTGTTTTCTTTTGTCTTTCGTCTCGTTTGAATTGTTTGAGAAACCTCCCTCCGGGTACACGACAAAATTCGCTATTTCGCACCTGCTGCGTGTCCATGGGGATGCAACCGACTGATGCTGGTCCACATTCTGCGCTGTTGGCGCAACTCTTGCTTACCTGGAACGGAAGAAAGCGAAGGTAACGCGTAATGAGCGCGATCATAAAGGTTCTACAGACGTTGGAATTTTTATGACCCAACGACCGGAAGCAAAAACTGATCCAATCTGCATCGCGATGAATAGTACGCGAAAAAAGAACCATGAGGGATATTAGACTGATATGTAAATAATACAAGGAAACACTGCGAGATTCTCGTCTGTTTGATAAGTTTTTAATATATTGTAATCTAGACTGAGAAAATGAGAGGCATGTATTCTTTTTTACGTACCCATACGCACTTTTAGGAGTGAAATATCTCTTTGAAAAAAAGCGGTTATTTTTTTAAATCAATATCGTCAAAACTATAAAAAAATAAAATATTTTCTTGTAATAAAAGTTGAATGATTTTAATTTACTTTATAATAATGATAAAAACTTTTTCATTTTTTTATATATATAGGTAAAAATTTTTTTTATTAAAAATTTTTTTATATCTCTCATAGTTTCGATATTCGTTTAAAAAAAACATTAACCCATTGGCACACTTTAAAATCGCATGTAAACATGCACAAAACATACGTATCCTTATTTTGATCCGGACAACAACATTAAAGTTCATCAAAATCAGAGAAGAACACTTCTCTGTGTTTCATTGTCAGTAAGGAAAATGCCTTATTTGATTCAAGATAGTTCTTAGTGCTTAATAACATTTCAGTGTGATTATATATATATATATATATACAGTTCCGACTGTAAGCTGAGATTTAATTTTCAGTCTTGAAATGCAATCCTAAACTGAGATAATAATGTCACAAATTAAATTGACAGTAATGTAATGACGCTAATAAGCATCTTAAAGTAGCATCATAAAGACAGTGCAGAATTATATTAGATATGTATATAAATTTACATCGAAACATTATTAAACATCTATCTAGCTTGGGAAATGAGGCACTTGGTTTATTTTCAAAAAACAGTTATTTAACAAAATAGAAAAAACGATACAGAGCAAAAATTTTTATTTATATTTTTAATATTTATATAGTATCAATTCCTAATTGGAAAGTTGGGAATAACTTATTAACTTGATAATTTTGTCGTCGGTAATGCCCGATGCCCGACATTAGATTATCGGGCATTATTGTCGTCAAGCGTTGAAGCGTAGAAAGTTCCATCAAAGTTCATCTGCTGCTACATCGACTGGACTCTAGAAGCGCTTAAGCTCAAGAGGGCGATCCATCTCGACGTCCAAGCTCGAATCCGTTCTCGTAACTTCATTCATTAATAGCCCGAAAATCGATTATCCTCCTAATGTAAGTCAATTAGCCACATACGATAACCTTTAATTGATTTTATTTGACCGTACGTGTACTACAGTTGGGCGGTAATGAAATTTACGCGTCGATCGAAACTCAATTTGTTATTGTTGGTTCGTGTTTTTTCCCCAGTGTTTTCGTTGTAGCCTCGTTTCGTTTCGATAACGCGATTGCCTCTGACAACATTCGAAATCGATACCTTCGACATTTGTTAAGATTGTGAATACGAATTAAGAAAATATTACAAATATTTCTGCATGACGCATTGAAATTTCATATACATATTTTATATCTCTGCGATATTTTTTGCTTTAAAGTGAGATATGTCGAGTTAAGGGCGAAGGGTTGTCGTCACCTGGTTCACAATAAAAATGTACATACATACATACATACATATAAAAATAGATATTTTTTACATATATATATATATATGTGAATTCGATGATATACAAGATTTATGAATATCAAAGAGGAATAAAGGGCTAAGCAGGTTCTTACAAGCAAGCGGGGCAAAAAAAAAAGTATGCTTACCAAGACACTGTCCCCCCGGCTGTCCAAAATATGCAGCGATCGACAAAAGTCACCATCTCCCGTCGGACACGGCGTATCTATCGCCCAAGCGTTACACATCTGCAAGTATAGAAATAACAGCATTCTCTATGCGGGATCTCCACGTAAAAATAAAAGTCCTCATATTGCCAATATCAACCACATATTTCTCGATACATGAGAAAGATAGGAAACATCAAAATGTAAGAGAGTTTTATTATGACATTATACATAGATGTAACAAATAGATACAAAGACGGTATAACTGAAAACATATTATATAATGACGATGTCGAATTTTTTATGACGTAACGGTAACTTCAAACTGGACAGTCATTTTTGAAAAGTCATTTGTCACCATTAAGCGCTTGAAAAAGTAACTCGCGTTACTTGCAACGCGTCGATATATATTACTTTCAGTAGTTATTTTTAATTCATTACTTGTAACAAATTACTTTCTTTAATAAATCACACGAGATATGATGAGTTATTTTTCAAAAGTGACTTTTTCCAAACTTTGGTTTGATTATCGTTATCATAAAAAATTACAATATTATTATTAAATCGTTATTGTAAAAGCAAAAATAACGGTGTTATGTATTTTCCATCCATAGACTGTATATGTATATACAGGATAAGGTAATAAAACTTGGTTTACCTGGATAGTATCTATTTCCACTATTTTTAGAGATAAAAAAATATTTTAATTACGGAAGTTATAATGACAAGAGGATCACATAATATGCTAATAACAATTTTTCTGTGGGTAAAGGTGCTTCGAATATTTCAAGATTACCTCAATTTTTAAAATGAAATTATATGATTATTTTTATGTAATATGGTTTTTTAATTATTTTTTATAGTTAATAAAAAATTAATAATTTACGAGATATTTTATACTTTATTCAGCATATTTTAATACGAAATAAAAAACATGTCATAAATTATTCATTTTTGATAATTATATCTTGGTATTTTGATTCAAAATAACGAGATAATTAACTTTGTATAAAGAAAATAGAATTTTTTTTACAAATAACAATTTGCAATTACATGCTTTTTTAGAAAACAATTGATTTACATTAATTAATACATCTCATTATTCGACGCATAAAAATATTATGATTTGTATAAAAAAATAAATTACGAGATATATTTCATTTTATATGAAACTACTCTAAAGTAAAATACAAAATACATCGCGTGAACTATTGATTTTTTTATAATTCCACTTTTGTATGCGGAGGAGAACCAAAATCATATTATATAAACAAAACCGTAAAATTCTATTTAAAAAAATAACTTTAAAATCTCCGAAGCGTCAAAATGCCTCCAAAAAATACCACCAGCATATCAAAATTATTTTCATACGGTAACTTTTGTAAATAAAATTTTCATATTAAAAAAAATAGCGAAAATACGGCAAACAGATAAAATCATTGCCCTATATCTTGTATACAATTGTATCATTCTTTTAAAATTCTGTCAATATTCCGTAAATATTTGCGATTAAATGGATGATACGATAAACTGCTATATTTCTACGAAGAAAAGGACTAAAACGGAAAGGAATTGGAGATAAGACATTATTGCGAAAGGAATGAAGCGAAATGCAATAAGGAGAGTTTTGAATAAACCGAAATCGATGGCGGAACAATCTACAGAGTCCTACAAAATTGGACCAGACACGATAGAGTCATTACGGGACTCTTAAGGGAGCATTTAATGGAGTCGTCGATACCTGGTTATCGCTGACGTTGACGCAAGTGTAGCACGTTAGACCTGCAACACAGAAAGAGCGTCGAGCTGAGTAACTGCGTCACTGGGACAATCGAGATGGGACGGGGTGAAGACACGGGCGTTAACTCTTAATTGCACCGTCGCGTCGTGCCGTAGAGATACGGAAATTCTATTTGGGGAAGAAAGAAAATTACAGGGAACATATACATTCAGGGATTAAACGAGTTTAGCCGTCTAGACGTCCAAAAGTTAACAACAAGCCGACTCTGCCAGAAAAGGATTTTGCGACGACTTTGCCGAAACGGTGTCCAGGAATGGTATCCTGGCACGATTGTCGTCTTATATGGCAGAAGCTAAATTCGTTAATGCAAAGTTACGGCAGCGATTTTACGTATAGCGATAGAGGAAGAGTTAACGCGCGTTGTACACGACGAGTACGGGAGTGTCATTGACAGGAAGGGTTGCGGTACATGTGCGAAGTTGGTTGAAAGGATAAGCGGTAGTTCGGAGATTAGTGGCGTTCGATTGCAGGATCGGCAAGCTGGGATAAACTCGAGTTAGCCAAGTAAATCATGCTTTTCGTTCAACTCTTTCCTCTTCTCTCTCTCTCTCTCCCTCCCTCTCCCTCCCTTTGTTCTCCCACTCGTACTCCTCTTCTTCGTACTGTCTCTCTATCTATTTTTATCTACCAAACGTTTCCGTCCATTTTTCGACGGTCCAGCACCGATACCCACGATAGATGTCTTCCTCGTCCGTGGTGACGCCCTTCGTCTCCTCTTCCTTTCCGTTTCCATTTCCGTTTCCGGAGAGGACGTTTCTGCCGCAAGTTTCCGTAGCCAGAAGCAGTCCAACCATCATCCACGTGATCATTCCTCACATCTCTGGAACGACAGAAATGGGGTCGTGCGTTACTTACATAAGTGACCTCGAAAGGGCATTAGGGAACGCCAATTACTCGGAGGGCGGGAACATTAGGATTATAGTCGGTGGGAGAAAAACGACCCGACGAGAATTTTAATTCTGATCGATCGTGCCGCGACGCGAGAATTGCGTCCCTCGGGAAAAAGGTGGCAAAGTGGCTCTACAATCGCAAATGTTCGCATTCTCGTCGCGCATTTGACATGAAATGTGGCTGTCTGATTCCCCTTCTCTCTCTCATGCTGAAACATTGAACATTGATCTGTATATTGGACGAATAAAGCTGATGATGATAAATGATGATATCGTTAGAGGTAATATAGAGAATATGTAATAGAATGTGAGTTTAAATAATAAATCTTTTATTTTTTTAGTTTTAATATTAATTTTTCTAAAATTGTGCCATCAATTTAAAACGCGTCCCCGGAGTAGAGATACGTGAAAATCGTGAAAACGTTTCTGGTGAAGAAACCCGACGGTAAATTCAATATTCGGATTAGGAATTACGAAGAGGAATTGCGGAACCGAATGTCGACAACGAGTGTGGCCGATTTAAAGCGACGTCTCGTCGACTGTGAGTGCCTGCCGTTTGCGTATGTGCCGTCTGCCAATGGATAGTCTGTCTCGGGTGGATGTACATATACCGGTACCTGGATGTCGATCAGAGCCCGATTCTAGGACACGGGCGACCTATCGGCGGACGTCAGTTCCGTGCGTCGTATTAGGGTCTCGACGAGTCAATGGATCGAACGTTGGACCTTTCGAGGTAGATAAGGTCGTGTCGTGGCTTTCCTCCCGGGGGCGAGCCAGCCGCAAGAAACGCTTTCGCGATGACAGGCACCCTCTAATCGAAGTAATTAATTCTGAACTGTATGATCAGGATCTGCCAACCACTTTCCAATTTTAACCGTAATCAGCTAACTTCGCGAAACTATTATTATTTTTTGCTCACTAAGGATTGCTTGTTATGACCGAACTGTTAAGTTTCCATCAAATAACGAAACTTAATTTAGTTTATTGCTGTAACGTGATTTACATCTTGAATTTTTATATCACACGAAAAGAATAGTTTTACTGAAGTAGCTCAAAATTTAGCTAGATACAGATCTGAAAAAAAAAATTTTTTTTTAACTATCAAAATAATCATGTAGAATATTTAAACTAGTTGCTAGAATATGTTAAAACTTTTTGTAGCATTGCTTATCACACACCGGCTCGAGTTTCCTGTCTACATAATTAATTTGATACAATCCGATAAAATTATTTTTAGATCTGTATCTACCTAAATTTTGGAATACTTTAGCAAAATTGTTCTTTCTGTGAATATATTATGTATGCAGCAAAATGTACAAGCGGTTGAGGTTAAAATATCTTCGCGTAGAAGGTATAAATATACATATTTAAAAGATGATTAATCAACAGATTATGATTTTCGGTTGTAATAGAAACATTTTGAGAATGATAGTAATTGCGGCTCACAAGAAATATCATAATTAAAACATGAAGCTTCTATTGATATGTATTGTTATTGCTAGTTTATACCATCTTAAGTTTGATCGCGCGTTTTATCGCTCCAATTTAAATTCATTCTTGTAAGAGGGCTTATGTCTCACGCTCTCTTGGCTTGCTGATGTTCCCATATCCTTGCTACTCTTCCACTTCTGAATACTCTTGAGTTTGAACTCTCTTAACGGAGTTGTTAATTATACACTTACTAACTTTGCTTTTATCCGTGCTCCACTTATTCGTAAAGTTTGGTGCTCGACGATGTATATAATGCACTGTATTTTTCTTCCTTGTTCGTTTCGCGACATGACGAAGGAATATAACTTTGTGGCAAAATGGTGTTTTTATGTGTATCGTTTCGAAAGAGCCAGCCCGGAGTTTATCTTTCGTTGCTTCACTTCGTTTTAATTAGTTCGAGTAGCTGATGGAAAATTGTGCAAAATGTACACAAGGTAGACTTCGCGCAATATGCAATACACTTGATTCACTTAAGCGGTACACTTCAATTAGGAATCCTAAACTATCCAACATCCCGTTCGCTGAAAGTAATACCATTGGAATATAATGAGAGATTTATGTTTGCTTTAAACGCGCATTTCAAACTCGCTGCTCGATCTTCTGCCGCTTAAATCTTGAAGTTTAATTATTTAGAATAGACGGAAGTGAGTTTTACAGAATCCTTTGATGCTATAATTTGGATACTGCTTTGTAAATATGTATACAGACTTGGTTGACGTATTTCTGCGCATCGCCTCGAATCCTTGCATAAGTTTCCTCCAGTTTATGCAAAATAACCATGCATCAAGATAAGAAAACCGTTTTATGTAAAATGGCTCGCGCGCGGAAATACACGTCACGAAACACCTGTCGCGCGTAAAACTTTTTCGCGAGCTTGGCACGGCACTGGGTGACAAAGCCCTGCCATTTATTGGCCTCGTCTGACAATGCGAATACTTTTCCTCTCTCATATCGACATACAATGGTATTGTACTATCTGATATATATCGGCCATATTTTCACGACTGTGATTCACGCTCTAAAACGAAATATATGGTTTAGGATTAGAGTAAATTAGCTCCATTCGAAATAAATTGTTTGTGTTTGCGTAAAGTATATACCCGTTAAATTAGACTAATTAACTTCATTCGAAATGAATTATACCTATAGAGTTTCTATCGATCAAATTGCTGGTTATCGCGCGCTAATAATTTCACTCTCGTAAACGGGACGTTGATCGAGTAGTTATGTATATTGCTTATGCGCGCTATGCGCTTCTGGCTTTTGATCGAGTATAAACGCATTTGGCGCATCGGATTACGAAGGAAGCTCTATCAATTTTAGAAAGCACAGCTTCGACGCGAGCAGAGTTCCAAATGGCTTAAAACTCATAATACCGCTCATTATAATCCAGGGTGAATTATCGGGGAATAAATAAATTCCAAAACAGGAATAAAATAAAAGCGACCGTGTTAATCCTGTTACATGATTACATTTATTGACTTCAAAGCTGCCGAATAAATCCTCATCAAATGATTATCACGTGTATTTAATTGCCGCGGTGAAATCAATTAAAATAGATCAATTGACGAAAAACAAAAATGATGTTTCATCTCATCTCGTGCGAAAGCTATCGACGGGAAATACTTTTTTTTTCCGTAAAAACAAATGCCAATTTAATTCCGCATCAATCATGATGGCTCCCTCGTTCTCGAACTCCGATTAGTTTAAAGGGGAACTATTTTCCAAGAGACAGTTTTTGCAGAATGTTTTTGGGAAGCAGCGAAAATTCTCTTCTATGACTGAACACTTGAACAGCTATAAAAAGTTGGAATAAAATCAATTTACAATTTTAATACTAATTAACATTTTAAAAGCAATTTGTGATGACACAAATTCAACGGTTACAGAAGCGTTACACGGCTGCACTCAGGATTATAATTTTCAATGATTTCCATGTTCAAATTTCTAGGTAATATCATAAAATGGGTTTATATATGACGCTTTCCATTTTAGGAACATATATAATGGTAATACAGACCGTATAGAGGTAAAATTATTTTATTGAAATATATTTAATTCCTATCGAAGTTACACATCTAGATGTGATACTTCTTTTTTTACACGAAATGGACATTTCCGGTGTAATAGCGTAATAAAGGAGAAACGAATGAGCGGTTTCAATTATCGCTGAATAAATGTAAAATGTGGATAAAGTTTTGCGTGCAAGAAACACGAAAGGACGGAATCGAGCGAAAACGTAATTACCGCGTCGATAATATATATGCACAAGAACGGTATTTAAATTATTCACCGATTTAAACGCGACAAGCAAAGCCGCTTGGATACGATCGGATTTTCTGATTACCAGACCGACTAAAGTTATATCCATGCTTTCTCTATTAACGGCGGGTAATAGTCGGCGTACATTTTCGGCGTGTTTTCTAAACATTCGTAGCAACAGATCCGGATAATTGAGAACTCGTGCTGCGTTCTAAAGCCTCTGTATAGCTTCGGATATGGGCGGATATGGGCGGATAGGCTTAACGGATGAACAGATTCACGCTCTGCGCCGCGCAAACGCGTCGCAAATTGAAGAATAACAGATCGATAGTAATCTAATGTTACATTTCTACCCTTTTAACGTGTTATGATAATATTGCCGTAAGTATACGTGCGTTTTCTGCTAAACAGTGTGCGACAGTTAAGTGATATCTGTGAGAAGTCCCCTTTAATCCGAAAGCTGTACAAAACCGAGTGAATTTCCATACGTAGTCCTTGACACATTTTATACCTACATACGCATCTGACAGCACAGGTAGTATGACTTTATTATCTCGCGTACAATTTAGTCAACGTTTATTTACCTTTATCTTTACGCATTCATTTAGCAATGGCAACTATGCTCCTATCAAGTGTATACTCTTGGGATGGGATGTTTGCGACTCGGACCAGCGGAGGACAAAGGGAGTAAGTCACAAAGTACGTTTGCATGCGGCGAATTTCGCACCAGGGTAATACGCGCACTGCAGTGCGCGTATTACCGCACGAATTCGTCAAAGTGCTTCAACGTTCATTGTTTATCCGCGCGTCCGACCGCATGCGGTTTTTCTATTATATCTTTCTGCGGAAATGATCGACACAATCCGCCGACGACTTTTAGAAAATACGACGTTCCGGGTCGAGAGTCGACCGGATTTCTCTTGTTATTTATTCGATGAGAGTTGGAGACGCGTTTCGCCGAGTTTCGTGGTAATCCCAGCTGTATCGTGCCACGATGGCATTCGAGACGAGGGCGAAACGAGAGTAGAACGAGGGTTAAAGTGCAGGAAGGGACGTGGACTAGCGAACGATACGGTACGGTGGTACGATAAACATAATATATTTCCGACTGTGAGAAATACATAGTGGAGAAATATGCTTACTGCGCGAAAACAAACGCCTATATAAATTGCTCTTT